TCCCTTTCGGTGTGGGCCCAACGGAGGGATATAGAATTGATAATCATAATCGTCCGTGTAGGAGTGCTAACTAAGGATTTTGATCTATTTAGAATCCAATTGAATGTGAGAACCGAAGTAGGGGCACAATATCATTTGGTCCTCAGTGCATGGACTGATTCGGTATGTGTGGCTGTGCGGTGTGTGTTTAATCAGTAGTGATTGATGATATATCCAATAAGTGTAGCTATCCACCAACATATGCATGCACAACTGTTTATAACTATTATTAGGTGGTATTGTCTACATGCGAGACAAGAATATGCCCTACGTAGTTGAGAAATGAAGAAATAACGAAGTTCACCTCTGTAAGTGGTTCCAAATGAGGCTTGACACAATGCTTCAGAGAATGAGAGCGATTGGTGTAGGGATAACTAACTGGGTCTGAAACCTAACGAAATGAGGCATGAGGATCACAATTTTTCAAATCCTCGAATATTATGTTAGCGAGGACCGGAATCGAAGGCTTATAGACAACAAGTTAAACAGTGCTTTTCATGTTTATCAGACTGCAGCTGACAAACGAGCTGGAGATGGCTAAATGAAAGTGTTAATTGGGCTCTGGAAGCCCGGCGAATGGCATTTGAAATCCGTGGGGCAGGTGATTATGTTCCATTAAATCCATTTAAAGCGACAATCTTTTAGGCGACTTGAGCAGATAGCGTGAATGGATAAATAGGCCAAATGGAGTGGGATTGGGAAATAGGGGTGCAGTACTAGAATAAAGGACTTAGAAATATGAAACATTTTACAACGTTTGAACAGAAAATTGGTCAAGGAGAATGCTTTTACTTGCTACTGATAAGCTGTAACTTTGAGTCAGGGATGCTAGCGTGACGTCTGGAGAGATACCAAGTCAAGGGTCCGATGATGGAAATTATCATGAATATTATGTCAGAGAATGCAAGATGGTCTCTGGCGCTCGACTAAGTTGCGAAAATGAGGTCAAACCAACATTATTTTATTGTTACTTATCTCTATAATTTCTACTGGTAGTGGATAGGTTTTTAGGTTTAGTTGATATACAAGCAAACAATAGCATCACAATGCCATTGGATTTACTTAGCCATGTCTTTCAAAAGATAATTTAATTCAGAGGGGACTGCAATTTCAACCTCACCTTGCTTCCATCAGTAAGTCTAACGGAAACCGAACCTAGGCAGTGCAGTGGGTTGACCTCGTTGTCGCAACTTGGTCTTGTTTTCAGAGAGACCATGTAAAACGCACCTAGTCCGAAGTCGTCTGCCATAGTAGTTGTCATTATTCCCAGCATCTGACAGTGGA